GAATAGATAAAGTTTATTCATATATTGCAACAATAGATTGTCATTTATACATAGAAATAACGAGGGGGTTAAGAGAGGGTTAAAGTTCGAAAGAATTAAGAAAAAAAAATATATATATATATATATAAATTTTGTTGGTGAAAGATATTTCTAGATATCTTAAGCGGAAACGAATCTCGCAATTATACGTGAAACAAGGTGAGCTCAAACTGAGTGAACTTGAAGTACAGATGAAATTTTTTTCGAGGACCTTACACACACACAGATGGTCGAAGTCGCTCGTTGCAATTAATTAAATCTCGCAATTTCCAGCCGAATTTTATATCGTCGGAATACATTGGCATGATGGATATCTTTCCTCGAACGTACCAAGCGACAAGCGACGATCCGTGAAATCAGGGAATTCCATTCCCTTAACGATCTCTGCTTCTATCTATAAATATTGGAACTTCGAACGCGGCGTCCTTGGAACATTCGACCGAACAGAGCGCGTTTTTTTTTTTTTTTTTTTTTTTTAAGGTCCGCGGCACAGGATGGACGCAATTAAAATTAATTGCGATTCGGAAGCTCGGAAGAAGCTTCGGCATTCTTTCGTCGGCGAAAACTTCGCGGAATAAAATTGATTTTTTCTTTCTTTTCGCATAATTCGCAATATTGGTTTTCAGTTTCAATTTCTTGAAATTAAAAAAGTTCCCAGAGGAGCAGACGAGTGCGTCGAATGTTGCCTGCGTCTTTTCGCAGACACACCGGACGACGCAGCAACAGTTTGCGATCGATTTGCATAATGGCGGTGCGACTCGGGTTGGCGATTCGCCAAAGAAATTCGAAAACGACGGCGGTTGGGCAACGAAGACGATAGCAAGCGAGGATGATGTCGAGCTAGGACTGTTTGCACAGTGAAATTTGCACGCTCGTCCGGCAGTAGATTGGCAAATATCGATGCTCGGCAAATACCGATCTGTTTTGTTGCGTTGCGTTCGTTTCGTTCGCAGTTCGAACCCGGTGCACATACACACACACACACACACACACACATATATATATATATTATTCTTGTTTGATGAAAATATTTGTTTCAATCGTTTTAACGTGCTAATTCTTACCGAACACAAAGTACTAGAACTACTGAATGACCACTGAAGAACGAAACTCGCGCTTCGAAATTGTTCTTTCTCAATTCTTTCGAAATGTTCAACAGAGAACTTTCATCATTCAGAATTTGATATTTATTTATTTCGATCTTAGCAATTTATTTCCGTTGTTTCTCGAAGTTTGTACGTATTTCGTATGAAAACATCTCGAATTCCCCAAATTGTCATTTTGCTTCACGCACACCCATCAAAAGTTGTTTTACGATAATTTCCAAGGTGAGATTTTTTCCCAGTTTTCTTTTCTTTTTTCAACGTTTTTAACGTTGCCCACGAACGCGATTGTCCGTAAATTCAAATTACAAAGTTTCAGTGGAATCTTTGTAATTTGTATCATTTCTCGCGAAAGAAATTCTCGAATTTCGCAGGAGTTGCCAGAGTAGCGAATTGCAATAGCAGAGAACGCTTCGCTTAGGTGGAAATTGCCGCTCCATCGAGTTTCGAGAAGTGAAATTAACAGCAATGAAGGATCGCGCTCATTTACATTTTCGATTAACAAATCGATCGGCCGAGTTTCAGTAAGGAAAATTGGAACGATGCGCGCGACTCTATCTCTGATTACGCGATCGCGATCGTATTTGATCGTTTAATCCTTCAGACAGATGAATATTCTTATTCCCACGAAATTCTTATTCTTCGTCATCGTTGTTATTCCGAATTAAACGGATCGGTAGTTTCGCGTAATTTTAATAATCATAATTTTCTACTCAAAATCTTATCTCCCTTTTTAAAATCTCGTTTTTTTTTTTTTTTT